GGGGGTAGGGGGCTAAATACGTGTTGCTCGATCTCCACCTCCTCCGAGCGGGGTACGAGTTTACTTATTATCCCCTTTTCCACAACTCACCCATGTGTGCACGTACGGGGGGGTTCAAGAAGTCTTTGGTCTAAACATGAAAGAATAAAGACAGAGCTTTGTAACTTGGCACACATACTTTTATTTCTTTACATATTCACCAAGCAGAGTAATACATTTCTGCTTCTTCTCTTTGACCTTCAAAGGTCCTTGAGAGAAAAATGACACAGAATGGGCCCCTAAGCAGTTTTCAACCTCTTCAATGACGTTTTCGTTGTCATGGAAACGACGTCATATTTTAGATTAGGAAACAAAAAAGTCTGAGGAGGCTAGGTCAAGTGGATAATCTGGGTGTGGCAGGATTTCAAAGCCGCACTATTCTACTGTCTAGACTGCTTGTTGTGCCCTGAGGGGCATTGTCATGCAGATGGAGGACCCCATTACGGAGTTTTCCCCGCCTTTTTTCTCACCAATTCGGACCACAATTTTATCAGCAAACCCGATTTTTTGTCTACTGTGACTGTTTTTTTATTTCTCTTCTATTTTCCAGGTAGTCAGTCATGATGATACCTTCACAATTTCAGAAACACGACAGAATGACCTTTCCACTTGACGGCGTTTCCTTTGCCTTCTTTGGTGAGGGGGGAGAAGGGGTTTTCCATTGCATGGAGGACATTTTTTGTTCTGGATCAAAACGATAAATCCATGATTCATCCATAGTCATCATTTTTTTTAAATTGTGTCATTGGACTCAATTCGAAGGAGAGTTTTGCAGGACTCAACCCTCTTCTTCTTTTTCTCACTTGTCAAAAGGCGTGGTACTCACCGCACAACAGACACTTTATTCATGTTAGATGGTCATGGAGAATCGTTTCTATTGACTCTACACTGATTCTCGTTTCACTTGAGCGCTGTTAAACAATTATGCGTCTGTCTTGTAGAACCTGTTTCTTCACTATGGATACATTCTCTTCAGTGGTCACAAAGGATGGACGCCCTTCACGATCTTAATCCAGCACCGACATGAATCCAGATTTGAATTTCCTTACCCAGTATGTCACAGTATTATAGAGAGGACATCCGTCACAATAAACTTGGAGCTTTTCTTGAAAGATGTCCCAAGGGGATTTTCCTTCCAAGTGTAAAAACTTGATAATTGAGCGATATTCAACAGGCTCCATGGCACAGCTTCAGTAAAGAAAAACAAAAGTTTTGTGCATGGTGTCATTGAACACGCTGACAAGTGCCTTATTATTGTCGGATTTTCCTGAAAATGTGCATGGTGTGTTCCAAAGAATTGTCTAAAGGCTGGCGAAATTGTATTACTCTACCATGATTCCTTCATACCCAGACTGAAGACTTATTGA